ATATGGAAAGATGTCGCATTAATGCACACCTTAAATAGCTTATTTGTTAGAGGACGATGTTCAATTGATCAGAAGCTCATTCGTCGTCGAGGTTTCATGTTTAGGTTGTTATTCAAACGCAACACTTGAAAAATAACGTCTAAGCAACTATAACTTCAGCATATGCCTTCCAGAAACGTCTTATATTGAGGGGTTTTATAAATACGTAGCATGGAACCTATCTTAATGAACAGGCGATTGAAAGCATTGAAAACTTCAACATAGTCATTGGTATTTCAAGGACAACTCGAAACTCAACAAAATCCACTGTCGTAAAATCCGCACATAACTTAGACAGAATGAAAGTTCTCTCAATATACGCAATTGTGCGCTTAGGATTGCATATGTCAATACAATTAAAATGTAATAGTCACTGACCAGCCCGCCAACATGTGATCTTACTCAAAAATTTATTCCTCTGACGTCTTTATCGATTAAATCAAGCGAAATCCTGTTTGTTTTAACCAACGACATTTTGGGCAATATAAAAATGAAAAAATGTCGATTTATCGCACCAAAATTTTGCAGCACATGATTGGACAAAACATACTCGACTTTCTCACAGACTTCAGGGAGGAGATTTGATGAAAATGTATCTAAAAAATAAATCTTGAAAAATACCGTGCCTATACTGTCTTATGGATGCATATATTTGCATGGAAAAGCATTATGCACTTTTAACACGTGAGTCTACTTATGTAACTCAATTTTTCGATTTTCTTAAGAAAACTGCTTATCTTTCTAGTCAAAGGCATCGTACTTGCAACAATTTGCGTTTTCATGTACTCGAAAGTTGTTCCTGGTTATTTTGGTGTTTTAGTGAATGCGTACACATTGGCTTCAGATTACTTGGCGATTTTTCGTTAAGTTAGGCGGATTTAATCTGTTAGGCCAAATAATGTATTTAACAACAATTTCTGCTTATCATGACGTTTTCATCACGCAATAATATAGCATCTTGTGTGGACGATAATACCGTGTGTTTACTTGTACTTGTTACGGCTGCGATCCTGACTGATCTAGCCTTGTCAGCCCCAAGCTATTCACATCTTGCTAGCATTCCCACTACTAATTCTGCAGCCGTTTGTATATCAAATTCCAGGGCGTGATAATGTTCTACTATTAGCCTTTGCTGCAGTCCGTCTTACTATCGATCCCATGAACACGCAAACAGAACTAACGGCGAGGTCGTGTGACAAGCCCCGTACTTCAGGTTGTCCATCCTCCCATAGAGTAAAAGCGTCGGAGCAGATTAAAGCACCCACTGACAGGCATGCACATCGTCACTTTGCGTGTCGCTGGAAAATGGGGTCATTTGTGTCTCTTGGAGCTCGTAATTCATGCACAAAATTGTGAGGCATACGTGAGGGTATAAACATGCCATGAAAAGACCCTATTTTGGAAATCATCAGTAGGTCAACAGGTGAGCTTCACAGCCAGAAGTTAGAGTTCACGCATAGACAAAGTACAAGTATAGGTCGAGGGTGTTGAAAAGAACAAGACGACCGGAATGCTTACTGTCGGCCCAAAGTTTGGTTCTTTGAATAGGGCTCTCAGAAAATAAATGTACTGGGGGTCAGCTCTGTTTCAGTTTCTACCGCTGAGGTTAATGTAAGTTCTCTGGCCGATACGGCGTGGCGATCGCCCATTCAAAATAGGTGACACATGCATCGTTTGGCCGGGGATCAATTAATGACCGGATCAAGACATTCGGACTGCTCCTTAAGAGGATTACGAGTGGCGGTGGGAAAGGATCC